GTCCCCAGAAACTTTGCGACCGAGCAGCTCTCCCACCTCTTACTCTCCGATACTCCCTTTTCCACATAGCAAATCCAGCACCTCCATTATGGCAGACCAGAACACCCGCGGCTTTCGGAAATTCATGCTGGACCCCAAAAGCTCAGTCATGACATACATCGCAGACAACATACCTCCGGAGCACATCTCGCATCAGCAAGGAAGCAATGGCAGACTGCAGAACGGTGCATTGAACGGCCAGCAGCCGAACGTACAGGACCCCAATCGACTCCAACAGAACCAAATCCTCAGTCAAAACCCACAGAATCAGTCCCAAGACGCCTTCATGCGTCCGCCTTTGCCGAATCGACCCAGCCAATCCAATTCTCAGTCCTCCTCTCCACGGCCTGGTTACGCACAGCCGGTCCAAAGCTCACAAATGCCGATGAACACTCCATACATCGCCTCGAACATGAGCCAGGCAGACCAGGGACTGAGCGGATACTCTGGGGCTCAAAGCCAGCTTCCAGGCTCGCAATCCATGTCGAATCTATCATTGGCGCAAGAATCCATGTCCCAGCAGGGTCCACAGGGTCAGTATTCATCCAACCAGAACGGCAGTCCATCCACGGCGATGATGGGACAAGGGCCCCCACAGCCGGGCGCAAGACGTAGAAATTCCCCACAATCCGCCCCAAGGTTGTATCACCGTATGGCGCTGGACTTTGAGATCACCAAGAAAGCATTCTTCCTCGCGAAATCTCGTAAGAGCCTCCCATCCCCACACCAACTATCGTTCACTGACATCTTTCCAGAGCGCAACACCCAGGAAACGGCATCCGCAGCCTACGAGCTCGAATCGAGCTCGCGCCGGATATGGGGGCTGCGACACGAGCACTCGTGGGAGTTCGAAGGCTACTCCGAAGCCGGCCACGAAGCCGTGTTCGCTCACTGGCGCGCGGAATACGAGATGTGGGCGGACACCGTGCTCGACATCCAAGACGGCCAGATCCTCGCGGACGCCGCGAACGCCTCCAAGTACGGAAACGCATCCGCGGATCGGGACGCGGAAGGATGGGACTCGCAACCGGGGCAGGCGCGGTCGGGGTTCCAGGAGCTGAACGGCGGGAACAGATACCTTGGTCCGTCATCCATGCCGCAGGAGCAGACGCCTACTCCGCAGCAACAGGTATTTCCACAACAGCAGATGCCGCAGCTGCAAACCCTCTCAATGGACCAACCACTACCACCAGCACAGAGCATGCAGAACAATCAACCACCGCAGCCAATGCCTCCCGGAGCATTCCCTCAAACTGAACCACCGGCACCGCTCAACGACCCAAGCGTCCCACCCCAGCAAAGCCCACAACCGCCTCCGATGCCAATGGCCCAGAACCCACCGCCGAACATGCAGCCCGGCCCCTTCACCGCCTCACCCAACATGCCCTACGCCAACGAGACGCCAAACCCGCCCCCGCAGCAACCCATGCCGCGACCCGGGCAACCCCCGAACCAGCCCCAGGCTCCCTCGAACAGGCCACCGCAGCAGCAATACCCGCAGCAGCAGGCCTACGGTCCAAGGACGTCAATGTCTCCCGCTCAAACCATGCCCCAGGGACAGGCACAGGCACAGGGTCAGAACGTGGGTATGGGACCGAGGCCGACCGCGTCGCCGCGTCCCGGGCCGCAAATGCAAATGCAAATGTCGCCGAGTTTGCAGGCGGGGGGCCACATGTCCGGGAATGGGGGCGGGAGGTCGTAGAGCGGACATGGGTTGGGGGGGGAGAGGTTTTCATGGAGTTTGTGTAAGTAGGTAAGGTAGTTTGGCTTGTCTCCGCGCCAGGGGAGAGAATCTGCCTATGCACATGCACATGGCCGTCTTTTGCTTTTCTTTTTTGTTTCCGAAGTGAAGTGTAGTGAAGTGAAGTGAAGTGTATTACAACCATCGTACCAGGCGCACAGCATCAAACATCAGCTAAGGTAGCTAGACCGACGCCAAGGCGACCAGGGCGAGGTAAGGTACCTGGGTAGCTGTATGTCGTTAGCAACGTGCTTAAGGTGAATGAGGTACCTACATAGTCAGCACTACGACCTAGACTAGCGTCAATGCTCACCCCCCCCCTTGCTTGCTTGAGGGGCTCCGAGGATCCGTTTCCATTTAGTTACATCAGCTCGTGTCGTTGCCGTTGGAGCACGCCCTTGAGGGTCAACGTCACGAGGAAAGAAGATGAGTTCTGCAGCACGGTTGAGGCGTCGATGATGATGAGGAGTTCTGCACAGATGAAGGGAGAAAAAGTCTCACGATGTGCATCAAGAACAGCGCAGAACATCCGGTACTCGTACGCACGCGCCCTTGGCCGCCGATATATGGGGTATAGCTCGTGCCTCAAAGCGTGCCGGATCAAATCGCGGGGATTCTATTCTACCGTGTGCACCTGCAACGAGGAAAATTCTTCGTAACAGGCAAGTCCGTTGTCGAATTCTAATGCTCATCTGGCCAGAGCTACATACAATCGATATAATTCATCAGCTGCACGACACCAGATCACTCCTCCGAGTCCCGCTCCGCGCCGAATACAAACCCGGTCCTGTGCAATTCGTGCTCCCTGTAATACCGTTCCATCTCGGGCACATACTCCGAACCCTCCGGGCAAAACGTATAGTGCTCATACTCACTCTCGACCTCCCTCCCGTTCACGTCCGTAACGTTGTCATCCCGATAGCAAGCGTCGTACCCGGCGGCCCAGTCCACGAGCCGGTCCCAGTTCCTGCACTGCCGGGTCTGGAAGGGGTCGTAACCCTGGCGGAACGGCTTGGGCGGCAGTTCGAACCAGGGCGTGTCGTCGGCGTGGCAGTAGACGTCTTGCAGGAGGCCGTCGAGACAGTGCTCCACGTGGTGGTAGAGGTTGTCATCTTCCAGTGGCGCGCCCCGATGGGCCGCTGACGTGAACTTTTGGATCTTGATCTGTTTTTTGATTAAAGTATTCCTCACCACAGTCTGGGCGGGAATATAGACGTACAAGGCAATGCATTTGATGGAATGCACCGATGATGTAAATTCCTTTGGATTGGTCCCAAGGGAACCGTTGGGAACGTGGCAGGCCGTTCTGCGCGGCAAACTCGTCCGAAAGAGCGATCGTTCCGGGACTTATGTCCAGTGCTCCCCACAGCGCGTCTCGCTCTTCCTGGGTCCCCACGGCTGGGCCATACTCGGTGCTAGAGTAAATGGGAACAGATACGTTGCGGACCAGTCCAGCTAGTAGCTTGTTAGTACACTACAAAATGAGCAACGAGGCATGGAAGCTTACCCCAGCGCGTGCCTTGCGGTGAGATGCTGGATGTTTCAGGATTTGCAGAGTTCTGTAAGGGTAATATGAAGAACAAGTTGCAGCTTAATGAAATGACGAGGATCAGGCTGAGTATGGCTGTGGAAAGGCGGATCTGATAGCAGCGTCGACTTTTTCGCTTCCAAGCTAGCTGGCTCCTCTCAAAGCCTTCTTCATCTTCATTGATCAGAGGCAAGTATTTCTCCATCGTCGCCGGATGTGAGCAAAAAGTGATTTAGTAAGAACAGGAAGGACTCGAGACGCGAAGTGCAGTGCAGTATAACTTTTGCATCTCGTCGTTACAAAAGGACAAAAATATAAAGGGGACCGTTGAGATATGGCAGCGTGCAAATAATGGGGAGCATGAGCTGGCATAGCGTTAGCATTAGAAACGAGACTGCGAACTTCCGTATTTAGGAATAATAGACGAACTGTAGTACAGATAAGAAGCTATGCAGTGATCTGCCATGCACGAGAACGATCGGCGTTATGCAAGAGAGACCCTCCATCTGCGGGATGACGTATCTCGGGAAAGAAGGGCATCAACTGCACGCTTCCAAGAGAACAAGAACTCCTCCTTCCAGATGGCTGCCGACCGTGAGCCTGAATGGCTGCTGAAAGGTTCTTGCTTTCCTGCCTGTCTGGATGTGCGACTGCGAATTGCAATCGGAGACAAGAGACAAGGGCGAGGTTAAGATTCAACACCACCTCACGAACCGTCTTAAGACCAGTTCAATGGCATCTCCTCACTTGCTCTCGACTCATAGGCGCTAAGTGAGAACATCAGATGATCCGCCGGCGGACGTCTCTCTTGAAGGTTAGAAGCTTCAAGTAACCTCTGTTTGAACCTTCGAGTGATTGAGCTACTTACCCCACACTAAGACACAGCAGACATCATTGTCTCCTCAGCCGATCGTAGACTCTATTGACGCTGATAGAGAGATAAGAACCTATGTCTGCACAATTCACGTAATCATGTACTTTTGATCCTATGCAAACCGGCACCTCCGGCCTGAGTACTTTCTAATCATGCCACTCATTGAGCTCGTTCATGTGCGTCACACTACTAGCGGAGATGAGTACACCACCTCAGTCGATGGTATACTCCTCGCATTAGTATTGTTGGCCGTTGATAGGTCTAAGGATTTCGGGCGGGCTTCGAGCGGCTCGAGCCTTGTTGTTTCAGGATGGCGGGTTCTGATATACTCGCCGATCACACCTCCCCGCACCTCTTGCCTTCGCTCATCCTCTGCGACCAGGCATGCCTCTACCCCAGTCTAACTCGTAGTGCAAGTGAAGCAGTCCAATGAGCTTCGACCATTGCCGAGCACCTTCTGAATCAAGTGCACCCAGGATCTTCACGGAAGACATGAGCATGGTGAGCGACACCAGAGGTAATGATAAGACAGTTGTCTAATGAGGTGTTCTCTTAGTGGGCGTTATTGGATCAATCGTGCATCATGCAATACCACGTCAGGCTGTGGACCTTTTCGATGGCACTCTTATCAAGATGTACGTCTGGTACAACCCCGCTTTCCACAAGAGAGTAGCCATAAACAAACTGGCAGCATCGTATATATGCCAGGCATGCCTCGGGCTCAAAGCGTCTTCTCTGACCATATTTCATCCCGCGTCGAAACGAATTTCTCATAGCCTACAGCCCACGTCTCGCGGATCATCATCCCATCTGTCACGATGCTTCTCCGCCTGGCAACCGTTGTCCTCTGCCTCTCTGCGATCTCTAGTGGACTGCCTGCGGCTATCAGGGTGAGTTATCGTGCGGAGCTTTACCAAACCGTTGCTGAATGGTTTTCAAGCTTCGTGAAGCAGACGCTAAGGCTGGGTCTGAGCTCGGAGCTTTAATGATGAAGCCCCAGTCGTTGGATTACGTCAAGCCTCGTGAAGCCGACGCTAAGGCCGAGCCCAAGCCAGAAACTATACAGATGATGTCCGAGTCGCTGGACTACGTCAAGCCTCGTGAAGCCGCCGCTGAGGCCGACCTCGAGCCAGGAAGTATACAGATGATGTCCGAGTCGCTGGACTACGTCAAGCCTCGTGAGGCCGCCGCTGAGGCCGACCTCGAGCCAGGAAGTATACAGATGATGTCCGAGTCGCTGGACTACGTCAAGCCTCGTGAGGCAAACGCTGAGGCCGAGGCCGAGCCGGAACACATGTCAGCCATGTCCCAATCGCTAGACTACGTCAAGCCTCGTGAGGCGGACGCTGAGGCCGAGGCCGAGCCGGAACACATGTCAGCCATGTCCCAGTCGCTGGACTTCATCAAGGTTGCATCTTGAACAGACAAGGTATCACTCAGCGAGGTGCTGTTGTGTACTGAGCGAAAGGTGGTGCAGGTGATCGGGCGAGAAATGAGATCTGATGAGCGTCGTGTTTTCAGGAGGGTCCCTTTCATTTCCGGGTGATAGCTATTTCAGTCAGAATTGTGGCACCGGTTTATTTCAATCAATGCAATTTCACAGGCGCTTTCAAATGCACGTAGGCTGTAGCCTAGAAAATATATACTGTTAAGGTGAAGAAATTACTGCTCCAATGTCACTGTGTAGATGATGATCCCATAGATGTGCCATTCGGGGGTCAGAAGGCTAACATAAGGCTGAGACCCTAAGGCAACAGTCTTGACCTCTCAAACATTAAATAGGGGCATGGTCTCTCTGACCTGTTGAGCATGATGGGTAGACTCTCTGAAGCCCGGAGCCAAGGATTCGTGTACTAGTACAGAATGAACGTACTTTCGTATCCTTTGACAATATGGGAGCTCGAACGGACGGGTTGCGTGCATCACCATCTAAAAACGCAGTCACCGCGTCTCTAGAAAAGCGTTGCGGTTAGCTTTGCATGCCCGGCGGCCTTTTTCAACAGCTTCGCGGGTGTACCAGGCTGAGGGCCTGAACGGCAATGAGCTAGGAGTCTCTGGGAATCGGCGATTTCCTGGATAGGTTCGGTTTTGCTCGTAGCTATTACTGAGAATAGGATACGGCGTAGACATGGTCGCCACTGTTCGGTACGACTCAGCAGCAGTTGCCAGTTCGTCCAATGCAGGCTACCACTTCCTGTTCAGTCATGGTGAAGACTTGTTCGGGATGAGGGAACCGTTCGAGATGCGCATACAGCCGATCGATCAGGTTCTTGAGTGAATATCGCATTTAGGGTTAATCCAGGCTAGATAAATGACATTTGGTAGACAATGAAGTAGCGGACCCCCGTGCTGTACCAAGTGCGAAATGGTGGGGGGGCCGGATTTAGAGAGTAGGCGGATCGAGGCCGAAGGGGGGAAAATATAAATCTTGTACGCGCCATTCCAATGAATTGAACAGACATCTGCCAAGGTGATGAGATTGAGATACAACAAGTGAAGAGAAGCCCGGGTGTTTGATCATTGGTGGGTGAATGGATGAAGGAGCAGCCGCCAAGGGAATGAAAAAGACGAGCGAGATAAGCGAAAAGTACCGCGCTACAAACTAGCGTGGTATTCTTCGTATTCCAAAGTTTGTCGCAATTTGCAGAGCAAGTCTTCACACAATAATAATGCCATAAGATAGGCTTTTCACTTTAGCCCAAGACATGCTATCTCCTACTGTATGTGATGACCAGAAGTCGCTTCTCTCCAAGTAGCGGGCTGAGTGGGAGTCTGGGAGAGATTGAATTCTGTTAAACCGGCTCACGGGCAAGGCCGATGGCTCCAGACCTGGCAGCTGTACGCATCCAGAGGAACAGACTTCAAGAGGCTGACCTCTGCCACGTTTCGGTCATGTTCTTACTTCGTCGCGACTGCTCTAGATGTGCTCTTACCCCAAAAAGTCTTTGTCAGCTTCGAGAGTTTCCTGCTTTGTCAGAGTTCGCTTGATTGTCGCTTCTGGCCTTGAGGTCAGCACTAATCTAGGGCAACTGGCAGCGCGAAGCCTCAGTCTTATATGTAATAGTACTAACAAAATGACTTTGATGATTTGATGCTAAATACGGTTTGCTTTAGTTACGACGGAGCTCATTGAAAGCCTTGGTGTTACAATCGAGAGCCGGTCCGTTGGAGTCTGGCTGTGCATCGCGTGTGTATTTATGTTCAGAACAGAAGTTTCTACATCATGATCCGTTCTATTCATTTTTCTGTATACAAGTCGCAACATACGTGAAGCCGTTGTGTTTTGGTGCCACTCTTGAATGCCGCGACGCCGAGTAGCAGTAGTGATACAGGTCAGCTTACGGCGCTCTCAACCCACACTGCCAGCCAATGCGAGGTAATCACTTGAACAAGAACCAGTTCGTGGAGCACTACTGCCAACTTCAAGAAAAGAAATCGCGAATCTCTCTCCAAGAGCAGTCCTCCAAAATGGCCGCCGCCTCTTATTACCAGCTCGATTCCTTCCCAAATTCGGACCCAACTGCGGGATCAGACCTATACTCCGGCCACGACTACAACAACCACCCCGTGCACCCCAGTGAACCTTCAAGACCAGACCTCCACACTGTGCATTCGAACGGCAACAGTTACAACTGTAACGACGACCACATGCGGCCGACTGAGCCATCGAGGCCGGACTTGTACACGTTGCATTCGAACAGCAACAGCTACAACAGCCCTCCTCAGCATCCTATGAACAATATGCACAGCAGCCCGCCTCCGCAGCTATCGATTGACAGCTGGAACGCAAGACCTCCACACCCAACAGATCCTCCCACGAAACCACTCGTGCACTCCTCTCATGTCGCAGTCCCTCAACCGCTCAAGATCCAGACACCCAACAGTCGTCTTCGACAGCGCAGGTTCCAGACGCTGAAACGCTATCTGCGCATCGGAAAAATCGTCACCAAAGTCATCACCATTCTCTTCTCCACCGTCATGTTCGCAATCATGCTCTTCACGGTCATCAAATACCAATCCACCAAGGGCGAATTCCGCGGTGGCAGAACCGCATGGCCCAAGCAGCCGAAGCTGTGGCCAACCTTCATGCTGCTCGCCGGTGCTGGATTGACTCTGCTTCTGTCATCCATAACGCTTCTCTCGTACTGCTGTGCATTCGACAAAGCGAGGCGGAGCTGGAAGCTTACAGTGGTGAAATACGTGATACACATCGGAGCGTGGCTTGTCATCTCGGCGCTCTACCGGTACGAGAAGAGCACGCACGGAGTGAGCAACGACCTCTGGGGCTGGTCCTGTTCGACGGAAGCTACCGCGCTGCAGTCCGAGTTCAACGGGGTGGTGCATTTCTCGAGTCTGTGCAGTGTTCAGGTATGTCGCCGTCGCCGCCGAAAAGAAAAGAAGCGTGGCTGACGATCCCGCAGTCAAAATCTTGGGAAGTCTCGTTGGCGGAGGTCGTGGCCAAGATCGTGTTTGCAGTCGGACACTATGTGATATACAGGAAGACGCGAGATGATGAAAAGCAGCATTTGGCGAACGGCGTTGGTGGCGCTGGGACGGATTTCCTGGAGGACGTCTTTTGATTCGTGCATTGCCGTCATTGGAGTCTGCGAGTTTCATGTACGAGTACCAAAACCCTCTTCTATCGATATTTACCTCGCTCAAAAAGATTGTGTGGCCACCTAATACTAAGTGTCGGTCCCCATGCTCCAACATCGATCTTGACTTCCGTCCCAGTGATAAGCCTGCCCGCCTCATTATCCCATACCATGGTGGTGCCGGCAGGGTTCTGGTTTCAGGGGTAAAAGGTTGCGCTACCAAAAACCGCCTCCTGAAAAGTCACCACAACTCAACAACAAACCAAATTACGATGAATCTTTCAGCGTCGCACTTACTGTTTGTTCAAAAGCAGATTGACAATTTTACGCCAAGTAAGTTTTTATTAAAATCTCATTCTCGAAAGATATGGGTTTGCGAAGACCAGGGGCGTTTGGTGGTCTTACCCAGACAACGAGAGCCCAACTCACGGGGACATGGCTCCGTTCTCTTGATCCTCCAAGTCAAAAGATTGTATAACCCCCTACACGCAACCATCAGTCTCCACATCTCCATCCAAGGCAAGCCCCGAAACTCACCATCAATCTTAATATCCGTCCCCGTGATGAACCTCCCCGCCTCACCACAAAGCAAAACCACCGCGCCGGTCAAGTCCTCCGGGTCCCCGATCCCCATCGGGCTCCTCTCCAGCCACGACTGCCTCAGCCCCGCCTGACCCGGCCCCCCGCTCAGCCTCGTGTTCATGATGCCGGGACTGATGCTGTTGACCCGGATGCCGTGGCCGACCCACTCGCCGGCCATGGACCGGGCCAGGTGGTGGACGCCGGCTTTGGAGACGGCGTAGGCGGAGTGGGGTTGGGGCTGGTTGACGACGTAGCCGGACATGGAGGCGGTGAAGACGATGGAGGCGGAGGGGAGGTTGCGGGCGATGACGTCTCTGTCCCTCACGTCAGCAGAACAAATGAATGGCCGAAGAAAGAGAGATGGGGGGGGAGGAAAAAAGAGGACCTAGCGACGGCCCTGGCGACGAGAAAGGAGCCGTGGACATTGACGTCGAAGATGCGACGCCAGGAGCCGATGTCGTACTCGACCGCGAGTTTCGACTCCGAGATCCCGGCGAAGCAGAGCAGGACGTCGACGCCGCCGAAGACGTCCGCCACGCGCGCGACGGCCGCATCGACGGCGCCTTCATCCGTGACGTCGACCTTCTCGAACCGAACCCCCGGCCCCGCTCCTTCGCCGCCGACGCGGGCCAAGTGTTCCACCGCCCGGCCGCCCATCCCCGCGTCGACGTCGAAGACCGCCAGCTGCTCGACGCCGTGCTCGAGGAGCGCTCGCGCGCAGACGAGGCCGAGACCCTGGGCCCCGCCGGTCACTGGGGGGGACGACGACTGAGTCTTGCGGGTGTGGGCGGAGGGTGGGGACACGCACCGATTGCTTTTTTGCCGGCCAGGGAGAAGCGGGCGGCTGCGCGTTCCGCGGGGGTCTTTTCGGGGTGGACGAGGTCGGGGATGGGTTGAGGGGTCGGGGGATCGTCGGCGATTTTGAACGGGGTCATGAGTTTGAGTTCGCCTTTTGGCGGGCCTGTATCCGCCATTGCGGAGTTTGATGATGGCGAGGGTGATGGGGTGAGTGACACAGAAACGCTATGCGTGGTTGAGGCCGGAGGAGGGTTTGGTGTGGGGTAGATCTAGATTTGGGTTGCGCATCAATGAGGCGAGTTCACTGCTTCAGATATGCGAGACTTTGATCAGAAGAACGCGATTATCACATGATCGTAAAAAGTAGAACAGCAAAGTGAGGATTAAGAGGTTACAGCACCACAAGCCATGTCGAAGCCGCTGCGCGGGCAAAAAAGGGACTGCACTGGGGGCGAGATGTGAAGCTGGATGACTCAACAACGACGGGACATACACTCAGACTCTTGGTACATGATTTGTAAGAATAGCTATAGAGAACAACTTTGATGCGGGAAATTTTGTGATCAGGCTTACCGTTGTCGAGTTGTAGAAGGTGGTAAAGATACGATTTGCAATTTTCGCGGCCCCTCAGTGCCCCCAAGCAGGGAAATTCAAGAATTTGATGTCTAGGTGATTTTTGCAGTGAGGAAAATTGTTAGAAGGGTTTACAGAATATATATAATGAATTAAGATAAAAATTTTATCCTCAAGGTCGCAGTCTACAAAAGATTGCGTCCCAGAATCCGACGCCGGGGTAGCTCAATCGGGTACCGCTACCTTATCGTGTGGTCGCAGAAATATGCTCACATCTCACTAGTAGAGCGTGTGGCTCTTAGTCAAGAAAACCTCAAGGTCGCGGGTGTACGAATATCAATGTCACTGCCGATTTATTACACGTGCTGACGGCAATACAGTCGAGCCCCGCCTTCGGCTCTAGAAACCACTCTAGTATCGAGAACTTCTCGACCTTTCTTTTTTCCTCTCTTTTTTTTTTTGCGATGGATTCCACCAGTCAAATAGCCACGGCTTGGCAAAGCTACCGTCCCAATAACCAAAATCGGTGTTTGTACTCGAGACGCAAAATGGTATGTATGGATGGTGTTACGCCGGTTGATTGGACTGTAGGCAAGGATAATAGACGTAAAAAAAACATTCTTTTCAACACCAATTGGCCTTTGGCCAGTCTTGGTATTCCGGTGACCGCCCTAATATTTTGCCTAGTAAACCATGAAAGAGTCTGCCTTCTATAATTTCGTACCTAGCGCATCACGAATAACGACAAATAGAGCAGATATCCTCTTCAAGTTCCGCAAGCGCAATGATTGACCAATCATAGAAATCTTATCGACCGTTTCAAAGAATGGTATTATTCTGTATAGAGAATGCGAGTGCGAATCGCCTAATCCCAGGCTCTAGCCTTGTACCGCACGATTGGTCCTACCAGAGTACTTTGATATATGTACAAATCCATCGAGGATCATCTAGATGGGAGATCTTTATGTGTAGCAGCGTGTTTCTGTTCAGTTACGAAGCCCGAAGCTTAAGTCATAAGAGAGATGCTGTGGCACTTCAATACGCTGCAACTTATATTGCGCAAGTACTGCACTCGATGAGAACATGGCCGTGTGATTTAATGAAGTCGACCACATGGTAGTGACTTCGATTCTGATCAGGAGACGGCAAAGTGACAACCGAGAGAAAGGGATGATAACGGGATTGGGAATCCCCATGATATGTACAGCATTCTCTGGAAAGGACATCTTCGTTCTACGCGTAAAGAGAGTATGAGATGAAGAAAAGGCGGAGACAGCTTTTCAATAAATCTGGTATTCGAAGCTGGACGAATCGAAACATATCGACAAGATCAGCCAACGAAAGTTTTCTGGCTGTTAATGCTCAAACACGAAGCAGATTTAGTCGTGAATAATAGAATTTCTGGCTATGATACCTTAATTCGACAGCAAATCCATCTCATAATCCAACTTCCTCTCTCAGCTTGTTTGGGCCATGGCCTCAAACGGCATAGCGGTGGATTTGGATTGGAGTCAAACGTGTCACGCACTTACCTCGCTGCACCGGTAATGCATCGAACAAGATCATTCCGTCTGTCCACTGCAGCATCGAATTGTGCTGAAATGTGAAGAAATGCCTCTGAGACAACAGCGGCTACGATCCCAATGCGCAAGGGAATACCTCAAGGGGAAGAATTGATCGGGCAGGCGAGATGTATGATGAAGCTACTCTATCTCAAAGAAAGCATGACACTAAAAACCCCACTGGTCATATCGAAAGATTACCTACTTGCCAGAAATTCCGGGCCAGGTGAGCCAGATACCAAGATATTCTGCAGGTCAAGTCTTCCTTTTAATTTTGTATGAGAACCTGTGGGCTGGAAGGTGCTTCCATCCAGAGTTGCAATCGTTACTCTACTTAAGAACGCCATACATTACAGTTCCCAAGCTTTTGTGATTACTTACGGCTCGCTTCAAATGCTTTACTCATATTTTTGGACTATTCATGAGCAATGTAGTGCAAAAAAAATATTAACAAATGTCTTAGACTTACGAAAATCACGTTTGTTGACCCCAAAATTAAGCAGGAAACTCAGCAATCTCCCTACAAGAAGGCAAAGACGGACAGTACGGAGCCGGACGTGATATCAAAAACTGTTCATCCTTGCACCAGAAAGCTACTACTCTTCGACAGACCCACGCAAACCTGCAAGCAGTGAGCTAAATTGAACCTGTCGCGGTCGTCAAGGCGTCATTCTTCTCCTTCATACTCGGAAGTCGCTCTTCGTGCATCGATCGCCTCGTTTTGTCTTGCACGCTCGCGACGCCTCTCAAGCTCATGCCTTTTAGCAAGCATCCGGAGTCTTTCCAGTTCTTCAAGTTTTTCAAATTTGTGCCGTCTCTCCAACTCGTTCCACCCACTAACCGCATGACGTCCATGAGGCACACCCTCCACATTCCCTTCAATCCCACCGCGCACCCGAACTGGCTCAGGGCGTTGATGCATATGCAAATGGCCGCTGTAGTACGGGACCAGAGCTTTCAGTCTGAGCCGGCGGAGGAGATCAGAAACGGAAAACCTGGGGTCAAAAGCGCAGGTCCCGATGAGCTGCGCCAGGCCGAAGCTACTGATGTCATGCATTGCGTCGACCATACCACCCGCCACCTGGACCCAATTCATGATCTCCGACCACTCGAGGGTACCCTCGTGCTGTCGGAATTCAATCGTCTTGTTTGATCCGAAAACCATCGGACAGAGATTATAAGCGAAGCACCTGTCTGGACGGTCCTCTTTATCTGCATACAGCAGCACGAGTTCTTCCTCCGTCTCGCAGCCTTGAATCGCTCGCACCGTGTCCCACAGATCGTGGCCTTTGAATGCTGCAGACGGGCCTTTGGCGTGGCAATTGCCGATTCGGTGAGCGGGGTGAAGGCTGTTGAGCTGATACTCGAACAGAGCCGTCAGGATACAGAAATGCTTGAGCGTTTGCAGAGGAAAGCCGGCCTTCTGATTGCCGACATGGACGTGCAGGCCACAGGATGGGTTCACGGACA